TTCTAAAACTCATCTTTTTTGGTCTTTTCATGGCTTATGATCTGTTAAATTTGTAGTTTTCTTTATTGGTTTTTGAATGTTTATCTTAAAACTCAAGTTTCTTGGTTCTTTGCTCTTGGTGTAAATCGAACACATTTGTGGAGTCGTTTAAATATATTGGATTTTAAACAGGGCTGGTCCTGAGATTTTGGATGCCCGTGGAGGAAAATCAAAATAATGCCCCTTATATGTGTAAATAAAAACCAAAATAAACTATTTGAAGAGGTTTAGAACCTAGTCAATCTAGGCAGCTCATCCCCACTCCGTTTAAATATAACAAATATGATGCAACAGGGGGGACATAAACCAAAACCCCGAGTAACAAAATATAAAATACATCACCATTCGTGGTTCGTGTTGTGAGATTGCCAAGAAAGTGGAACGATTAAGCAACATGGACAAATTGATAAAGGAGAAGAAAGCATAAGCATCAATCTTAAGTCTTTGTCCTATACTAACCCGCTTCAAAACAGCTCCTAAAAAGCTTCTAAACAGCCCTAAAAAGTAAAAAATTTAAGGCTTGAGCAAATGGGAAGGAATGGAAATTATATTCACATTTTAAAGTCTTTAGAGGATACAAATAATGAACAGGAAATCAGGAATTTGGGCCACCAACCTAACAAGAAACGGTTGTTTTTTATGGAAGGAAGAAGAGGTTTATGTTCTATTAGTCTTATACTCTTATAGACATCTTTAGGCCAACCACCCATTCACCCATGACCCAACAATTAACAAATGGCAGCAGAAGCTTTGACTGTTTGACACACAGCAATGTCTGCAAACAGAAGTGAGTAACCAGACTCATTTCATGGATGTTACTTAGAAATTGCAAAACGAAACAGCCCCAGAAACAGTCCCAAGTCCCATTGTAATGTTCTTTTCCTATTTTGAGCACCCGATGGTACTAACCCGCTTCTAAACAGCCCTAAAATTAACAAATGGTTGTCATTTGTTTCTAATTTTTGGTTTGTAACAAGTGAAACAGTCAAACAAAGTGAAATACTCAAACACAGTAAGTCAGCAACAACTAACAAGTGATACAGTAAGTCAGTAGCAAGAATTAGAAACATAAATGACAAACCACAAAGGACCAATTTCACAGCTTCATTATTAGGTTTTGCAATCAAATAAGAATTAGAAACTTCAAAAAATAAAATAATTAATAACCCTAAGTCACTAACTGTTAAATCCCTAACCTCACAAGTCGATAGAAGGCAGAGAGCGAGAGCGAGAGCGAGTCGCAGACGGCAGAAGACGCAACGCAGACGGCAGGCGGTGGTCGCGAGAGCGAGAGCCGATTGCCCGATTGTGTCAAATGTCAAGGCCGATAACGATTCGTGAATCGTGAACTAAATAGGTTTCTATTCTGTCGTGACTCGTGAGTTCCGTGAGCCAGCGAGGCCGAGGAGCGAGAGCAAGAGCGAGGGAGACAGGGAGTGAGCGGAGGGAGGATGATGGACCGTGTACTGGACGCAAGGTAACAAAAGAAAACCAATATATATATATATATATACATTGGGCTTTGAAATTTTGATGCACTTGGGCCTTATGCTGCCCAGGCCCGTCGCCCTCTGGATCTATAGCTAGGGAAGGGTCGGGTCTGACTTTAAATATATTGGATTTTAAATTATCATACAATTTTTTTTATCGATAGTCTGTAATTGGAATCATAATTCTTATTTATTTAAATAGTATTAATATGTAAAGACCAATTGTAACATATATCATCGTTAAATCTTATCTTATAAAACCAGTTGAACTTCAAAATCGTTAAAATTCATAGCTCCAGCTGCATTGCGCAGGTACACAACTAAGATAAACACAATCAAATACAGGATAAACATCTTATTTTAAATCTAAAATATAATTAGTATAATCATTAAATTCTAATAGAATATTTAATTATTTTCTTTATAAAATTTATACTATTAAACCAAAAATAAATTATTTTATTATTAAACTTAAATTAAATTATATAAAAAAAATATTCTATATTATAAATCATTTGACAAAAAATCTTAAAAACCATTTTTTATGCGTAAAGTACTGTTTATTAATGCATATTACTTAAAACTCAAGATTACAAA